GAGCAACAATTAGACCTAGGTTTTTGACTTCCGCAGATATCATAAAGAATTCTCAATTTCTGCTTCTTTGCTTCATATCTCAACAATATTATAATGTACGGAAAAATCATATTTGTGAAGAAAAGGAAGTAAAAACACATACTGTTCCCCTCTTTCAGACATAAGTAAGCACTTTTCATACTCCAATCCAAAAAAAGAAGTTATTTCACTTTCCAATATAAGCCAACTTGACACGACATGACCATCTTATCTGGGAGTTGGTCTCTAAAGCAATAAAATCCTTTTTTTTTTGGTACTGGGAATCAAACTTAGGACCTTGTACTTGCTAGGCAGGTGCTTGTGCCACTGAGCTATATCCCCAGCTCAATAATAAAATCTTGAACATGCCCCACTCCTTAAAAGAAGAAAACAAATCCCTGATTGTTTGCTATGCTACTATCTGAATATAATTCACAAGTTTTGGGAAATGAAATCATGCAAGAAAGTTCAACCACGAACAACAGGCTAATGTACACTCACAGTGCTGGTAATTTTGTGCAGTATTCTCCATTAAGTACTTCTGAAATTTTATTTGAACCAGTCTTCTGAAGCAGCACTTCCTTGCACACCGGGCAAATGTTTTCTTTCCTAACTGCTTCTGCCTCTGAATCTTTATTTGTCAGAAGCAACTATGACACCAAGCAAATAAATTGCTACTATTTATTATTTTACTCCAAGCATAACTAGCCCATACTCTAAACTGGCAGTGCTGTCAGGGTCTGATCAAAATTATATTTTATTTTTGTTTTCTATCATCTCTTCAAATGTATCCAAGGGATTTATCTTCCCTGTCCTCACAGGAATACTGGAGCAGTTGCCATAACTTTACTATTTATATAATCACTTCAGAGACCTAAAATAATTAAAATGGACCTGACCTGGTTGTAACAATGACATCTGCCCTATCTTGCTAGGGTCCTGCTTCAAGTTGCCTCCTGCTGGTGGTGGAGGAGGCTGGCTTCTTTCTTCACCATGCACTCTCCTGCTAGCCCGTTTCTCACCCCTCCAAGATCAAAGCAGCAAAAGGAGTCTGCGCACTCTCTTTATGAGTGTCTGAGTGGTGCTCGCCTGTCTCCTGCTGGCTTCCATTCTTTGTCTCTGGATTTTTAGAAACCAGCTGCTGGAGTACCCCCACCTTTAGCTAGCTCTCTCTCCTTTTGTGATCCTACCTGGGCCTTCAAGAAAGCGTCAGGCATCTTTTTGCCCACCAAACTTAGGGAAAGCGGGTGATGAAGCTGCCCAAGCCTCCCAGTGAGCCCCAAATGCAGGTGGGAGACACATGTGCACCTCAATTCACAATCCTTTAAAAGTCCCTCTCACTAGCACTAGGCTTATGATAAAGTGCCAGCAGACGTCTCTCAGACATCTTCCAACAAGACTCAGGCCCCACCTTCCACAGTACTCACCACTGAAACCTGCCTTTGCATGCTACCCTCTACCGATACCCCTGAGATGCACCCCCCAGCCTAACTTCTCAGATTCTTGAAGTGGCCAATGGATTCACAAGTTTCCAGAATATCCTCAAATATCTACACCAATGTTTCTACTCCGTAGTCCCAGCGCTTTCCTTTGGAAATCCACAGAACTTGAAAGTGTGCCTTAGTCAAGACTTAAATTTAGTACCCTGTTTTATCTCACACACACACACACACACACACACACACAAATGTTTAGGATAGACAATTTCCAATTAAAGTTCATTTTTACACAGATTTCTAATGAAAGTGGGGAACTGGAACATTCTGAGGGCTCTCAGGAACATCATGTTCAACACACACACACACACCCAGTGGTGACTCCGACCTCTCCACAGTTCTAAAACATCATCCATCACTGGCCTGACTTCCGGGAACAGAAGTCCTAATTCCACTACTGGGAACAAACCCACTTCCTGCTCTTCAACGATCTAGGACTGTTTTCTTGAACCTGGCCAAGGGCTTTCTCTGCCAGCTTAACACTCCTTGTTCTTCATTTAGCTTAATTCCAGGCCCTTGCTGTCCAGGCCACTTCACCCTGGATAACCTGAAGGTGGGCCCTGTCCTTTATAGATGTGGGGCCCAGGATGAAGTACAGGGTAGAGTGGACTCTGGGTTCTTTCGATCCAAACATCACAGGGAGGATACAGATGGTGGTGGCCAGAGCGCAGGTTCTATTTTGAGCTCTATTTATTAGCTATGTGACCACAGGAAAGTTATTTCTTTTTCCCTTTGTTTTTTCATCTGTTAAATGGGAATGATGATAATTGTATTCCCTACTTATGGGGTTGTCACAAGGGCTGATTTAAGGTTGCGAACACTCCTGCCTGTGCCTGACAGGCAGCAAGCCCCATATAAACATTTGTAAGGAAAGGCACGACCTTATCAATGAAATCCTCTGGGGCTCCTGAGCAGTTACATCTGGCAACGGTTCCCTCAGAGCTGGTGGGCTACTGAAATTCCAGGGTTTTTATTTTACATGAACTCCTGCTCAGTAAGGGTGCTTTATCTTTTACTGTTTGAATTTCCTCTTTGAACTTGAGTGCAGAAATAGACCTTTAACCTCACTGCAAGCCCAGCACTCTAGTATTGATATTCTCTTGTCTGGATATAATAATATGAGTCTCACAGTTTCTCCTCCCAGCTGTGTAGTTGCGGCAACTCTGATGGATGTCCCTTCTATGTCTTTATTTTTGTGAGTGATACAAACTAGAAGAGACGGGGACAAAGCCACCCTCTCCCCGTCCTTATTCTTAGGTTTAGCAAGCACCTGCTTAAAATGCCCCTGCAAAGACCAGGGGCATCTGCCAGGAATGGGAGGAGTCAGGGACTCCGACTTAGCTATGGAGCTCTGCTTTGGGGAACCTCTGTTGGTAAAACGGAAGTAACAGTCATCTTGCAGTGAGGGCCAAAGGGGACTGCGCATTAGGGACACCCAGCCGAGGTACTGTCGCCCTCGAGACATTAGAAAATCAAAAAGAAGAATTCAGAGCAGCCATTTCATGACCGTGTCACCAAATTCTCATTGGCGAAATGCATCCGCTTCTGGGATCCCGCAGAAAAGTGGAGAAGGAAGTTTACTCCGCGGAGGCCCTGAAGATGTCATTTGCAAAGTAGAAAATTAAATATCACTCCCACTGTAACCTTCTGGGGGTCAGCAGAGGAGTCTGAACCGCGGCAGCCAAAGCTAGGTATGCAGAAGCAGCAACATAGTCTCCGCACACTCACACATGCGCACATACACGTACACATGCGTACATACATGTGCGCATGCGCACACACGCAGCCTTCACAAAACAATACCCTTGCTTGCGCAATGTATTCTGATATTTTCTACGGAGTTTTATGTTTTAAAACACGAGTCACTAAACTTGTATCATTACCCTAATGAGTCACACTTACCTCACAGGTGAGGAGCAGTAAATGGAGCATGCCCAGTCTACAGCCCAGTAGACGGTTAGCATGTGAAATGATAGGAAACCGGTCAAGGGTAAAGGGCAACTGGGATGCGGGAAAAGAGAAGGGAAAGAAGGAGAAATTTTCTATGTATGTATATGCAGGATAGTTAACATGGTTGTTCTACTGTCTTCTGTTTCTTTGCTGAAAGAAAGTGTCAATGAGTCCTTGATTGATTAATACTGCATGTCTCTATCTGTTTTCATGAGAAACCACTTTGAAGATATCAATATGTAATACAACAAGCATTGTTAATTTCCTACCACTTTGTCTGTAACTCTGTATTGTCTGTACTGTTCTTTTGCTATTTTGTAAAATGTTGTCTGTCTGTTAATGTTTTCCTCCTTTTATTTAAAAAAAAAAAAAGAAGAAGTTAGTCTGGCAAAAAATTGTTGTAAAGGCTGTCCTGGCTGCCTGTGAGCTTCTGTTGTGAAGAGTTTGCTCGGGAACACTGCCAGGACTCTGCGCTTCTCTCCTCTGAGAGGTCCTCTAGCTCATCTCTCAGGTCTCCTGACTCTGTGGGCATCTCTCACACCCTTGCAAAGGTGACTTCTGTCTTCTTTTTTAATAACTGCTTTCACTGCTCGAGAGCGCTTGCCACCAGGTCCACAATCTGGTCGTTCCCAGCTTCAAGATCTCCTTACAGGTATTTAGGCAAAGCTTTCTCATTTTTAAAAAGAAAGGTAGCGGAGGCTGGGGATTTAGCTCAGCGGCAAAGCGCCTGCCTGGCAAGCGCAAGGTCGTGAGTTCGGTTCCCGGTACCGGAGAAAAACCGAAAAAAAAAACAAAACAAAACAAAAAGAAAGGCAGCAACTCTGCCTATCCCTTGTCATATCACCCAGTAACCTTCCTCCTCACGCAAAATTCGCGGAGGGCACGGGGCTTCCAGGGGCCTCTCCCCACCCCCACCTTCCCCGGCAGCCTCAGGCCTCTCTCCAGCACCTGTTCTTGGGGATGCACCCACCTGATCTACCCTGTCCTAGGCCAGACTCACAGCCCTGGCTTCCAGAACCCTCCTCCCACTGTCAACTGGGGGGGTCAGCGGGCAAAAGCTTTTTAGTATCTCAACCTTAATGTCTTCACTTGCACACTGGAAATACTGCTACTTGCTTTTGGGGTTTTCGAAAGAATTAGTTTATGTGTGGAAGTTCCTGACTCATGCCTGAAGTGGCATGGCCATGTTCCTGCGTTTGCTTTCAAAACGTCACTGGCAGTTTCCCTGGTGTCAGACGTAACGGACTGTAGTAATCTGACAGTCTGTGTCATCCGAAATGCTGCGGAAACCGCAGAGCCTGAAAAATAGGTTTCCAGTGAGGCTACTTTGCGAAGGCCTTCCTCAAATCATGACACGGAAAGGGAGGATGAAACCACGGTCTCCCAACCAACGGAACTGTCAAGTCAGGGCTCGCTCGGAAAACCCACCCACCGACGGGGCGCGCGCCAGGGCCACGGACCCCGCGTTTCGCGGGGCGCCCCGTGCCGGGGCCCCGCGGGCACACGCAGCCCCCGCGGCCAGGAAAGTTTGCTCACCTGCCGGCCAGGGCGTTGGAGGAAGCCCACCTTCGCCCGGGCGCCTGGCTCCCAGCTCTCCGGATGCTCTGGGCCGGCTGCAGGAAGGTTTAAACTTGGGCTGCCCGTCTCCCCACGCTCTTCCCCCGGGCACCCCCAAACCCTGTTCCTGCCCTCCCACCCCATGCGCTACCCACCCTCCACCCGCTAAACTGGAAACAAAATAAACAAAAAAACCCAACCAAACAAACAACCAAAAAAACAAACAAACAAACCCCAAAACAAAACCTAAAAACCACCGCCTGGGCCAGACCGTGCGCACTCCGCGCCCGGGTTACCGCGCGCTCGGCCGGCTCCGGGCCCTGCTCCGGGCGAGTCGCGCTGGGGCAGCGGCGCTGCGGGGACGGGGACGGGGACGGAGATCGGGACGGAGACGGAGACGCGCGCTCCCGACAGCAGGCGGAGGCGGCGCCGGGCGCGGGGCGCAGAGCCCGGCTGGAGCTCGGGAGACCCCTCCCAGCCCCACCGAGGACGCCGACCGCGAGCGGGAGTGCTCGGAAGAACCCTCGCCTGCTCACGCTGCTCTTGCGTTTGAATCAATCAGAACCTGCTACACAGCGCAGGGGGAAAATCATGTTATGTTTTGTTTTGTTTTCTTAACTCTCCCTGGCTTTGCAGCGGGTTAGGTTGCTCAGGCCAACTTTGGGCTCAGGGGAGAAGGAATGGAGCATCATGATTTGCACCTCCTAAAAATCCTAAAAATCCTCAGCTTTGGGTTCAAGTTCAGTAAGGTCTGCGTCCTCCATAATGTGCTGCTTAACACGAAGCTCAATTTCAGGGCCTCCTCCTGCCCACAGAGCAGGCGCCAGTGGTCAATCAAATGTCCTCCAAAGCAGGGCGCCAAAGGGGTAGGACCGGGCCAGCGTAGTTTCAGATTAATAGGCTTGGCTCCATCCTTCTCCCGTCCTGCAAATATTTACTGAGACTGTATTTCTTGCCAGATACTAAACACTGGGGACACAGCTTGCTAGAGCTTCTATCCACGACCATGAAATGTGAAAGGTTGGAGACAATCATAAAGTGCAGCGGGCTGAAAGCAAAAGACAACAACCAACGCAGGAAATGGATGTTTGGTGAGGGGCAGTCTAAACAGAGTGGATGGAGATGCCTTCACAGTCGGATGAGAACACAAGATCAGCCTGGTACCTGGAGCGAGAGCCCTTGCTGTGCGCTGGCGCTGAGATCTTTAGTATTCAGATGTTCCAGATCAGGGAGAGAGTAGTCCCAGTTCCATTTTGTAAATGCTGAAACGAAACGGTAGCTGAGTGAAGCTACAAGAATTCCCAAGGTGTCCTCAGTAAGTGAAGGAACTAATCCATCTCCAGGCACAGAAGCCTGGTACCCAGACCACTGGTGTAATGACAGCCCTTCTGCAGGGGAGAGATGCCACCGTGAAGCACACGTGCAGGCAGGCTCGCCGTGCCAGAAGAGATGTCATTCCTGGAAATGACATCTGAGTCACTGATTCTTTTGCAGTAGCTTCATCCTCGCATATGAAGTGAAATGTTTTGGAAACCATCTTCATAGTGTACGTGTATAAGCTACTTACGCCTCATCTATAGGCAACGGCGTTCTGAACGACAGAATTTGCCCATCTATGATGAGAGTTGCTGGTAGCTCCTGAGTCTCCGGTAGGGAAGCAATCTATCAGCCATGCAGCAGAGCCTACGCTGCATGTCGTCAGCATCTGGTGAAACTGTTCAGGGAGCGCAGGGACAAAGCTGCTCGCGCTGAGAGCCAGTGGTGCACACAGGCTCCACATTTGCTGTCTGCTTAGGGGACCTTGTTCTGCTCCGAGTACCAAGGGGTCATGAGGCAGAGAACCAGGGCACACTGTCCTGTGCGAAAAAGATGGGGTGCTCATCATTAGTTTCAGAAGCCGAAGCTGCGACAGCCAGGGAACAGCATCAATAAGACAGCAGAGCTCACAGGTCTCTGTTAGGTGTCTCTGCCTTTCCACAGCTGCATGTCCTTCTTCACTACCCGAGGGGTAAGCAAAACCTTTCTACCTTTCCTTCAAGGTGCATCTCAAATACCAGGCCTTCCTCCCTGCTCAGCTGCAAATGAGCTCTTAACCTAAAACCTGCTGCCGCTCCTATGGCATCTGTCCTTTGCTACTCTAGTGTCGCGGGTATATTTTAACTCCCTTTCAGCCTACTTTACTTTGTTTCTCTGCAATATCTTGCATCTCGCAGACACCTAATGAGTGTAGTTTTGTTGATACTAAACTAATCTGCAAGAACCCAGATTCACTGTCTTTTCATTTTGGCTTTGCATTCCAGAATAACTTTCCAGCTCACAGAAATCTAGTCACAAGACTCAGTTATATGTCACAATAGACATTTGCCAATGTAAATCAACAGTTTGCCTTGTGGTAAAGTATATTTGCCCCATTCCAAGATTGGAAAATTTGGTATTTAAAAGTCATCTCCTTAAGACCACAATAATAATCATTAATCGAGTCAGGATTTAAACCTGGGACTGCTTGACTTCAACATGCATGCTCTTCCCCACAAGCTCTTGCTTCAGCACAGTCGTCACTCCTTGGTGTGCTCCTTGACCTTTTGACATTTACAGATACTGTGCTCAGCTCTGCACCAGGCACCAGCAAAGCTGTGATGATTAAAACGCTGTTGTTGCCCCTCAGAATTGCTTATTATCTAGTAAAGGGACAGACAAGAAAATAAGCAACATTTCATGTTATGATCCTTATGAAAGAAGATTCAGAAAGACCTAAAGGAGCTCTTTGTTTCACCTTCGGTGATGGGAAGTAGGAGATGGCAGTAAGGATTCCCTGGGAAGATCGAATGTGTGATTTTAATGTTGAAGATATGTGGTGTTTTGTTACAACGGTAGTGAAGGGCTTGCACTGTAGACAGAGAAGGGAGCAGATGCTCAAATCTTGGAGGTGAGAAGAGTGAACGTGTGCAGAGGGAGGGCAGCTGTGCTAATTCGGGCGGACTTCTGTGGGGGTGGCAGGGTGAGGCTGGAAAGATCGGCAGGGACAAATCACAAGGGGTCCTTAGCTTCATGGAGTCCACCGTCCCCTGTAAATGCGTAGAAGGGCATCTGTATCTATGAATTTCAACCTGGCTGACAGGTAGAGACGTTGAATCAGGGGCTCAAGGAAGAGAAGTCAGTTTCCCTTCATACAGCCCATTGCCTGACCCATGCACCACAAGTAACTCCAAGGAACCATGACATTAGCCAGTCTGTCATGAATGCCTAGATTTTGGATAGGTACAAGGCTCACCCCTGCCATACTGAGTCCAAACATGCCATCTCTGGGCAAGAAAGCTAAACTGCAGTTCTTCCCGCACCTGCATCCGTATTCTTTTGAAAGATGAAAGGAGGGAAGTACTGGATGGCTGGGAGCCCAGGTGGTGCGGGGCTGGTAGCAGAGAACAAGTCCTGGGGAGGCAGCAGGAGGCAGGCCTGCAATGAGGTAGGCCTCTGAGGTCATATCGCATGTTCCATTACACCAGCACGCTTCATGCACTGCAGCAAGTTGTGTATCCCCCACATTCATATGTTCTGACCCCTTGTACCTCAGGATGAGACTGTGTTTGGAAATAGGGCCTTCAAAGAGGCAATTAAGGTTAAATGCAGTCATTGGGAAGTACTAATTCAATGTGACAGGTGTTCTTAGAAGAAGATCAATACATAGAGACATACCGGGGACCCATGGGCACCGAAGAATGACCACATGACAAGGCAGCAGGAGATGGCCTCCTGCAAACCAAGGAGGGAGGCCTGGAGCAGGGACTCCCCTTATGACTCTCAGAGGAAACCAGCCTTGCTGGACCTTGATCAGGGTTTCCAGCCCCTGAACTGTGAGAAATAATTTTCTATGGTTTAAACCACCCAGTATAGAGTATTTTATGGCAGTTCCAGCAGACGTATAAACTAACAGAACACGAGTTCAAAGTTCAAAGAAAAATTTTTATTACTTTTAAGATGGCGATGGAAAAACTTTAAATTTCAAGGCCATGGCCCCTCTAGTCTCAAAGTTCTGTACCTCTGCACTGGTCACACCCCATGAAACCAGATTTTAGTAACGTGGGAAAGGAGATCTGAGTCCAACATGTGATCCATCAGTGGAGAAGTGTGGCTGAACTGGAGGGACAGATGGATGGTTCTTTGGAAACAGAAGTGAGAAGAGAAGAGGGCTAGGGTCAGAACGAGCAGCTAGAGAAGTAAGAGGTGAACTAGAGATGTAGAACTCAGTGGAGAAATGGGCAGTAATGTTGAAGGCCCAGGTCATGTGATTAAGAACCAAAGCCACAGCTCTTAGCTTGGAGGTCATATGGTGGAAATTGGGGCAGATTGCTACTGGTAAGGAACAAGGGTGACTTGGTTACTTTTCTCTCATTGCTGAGACAAAATACCTGACACCCAGAATTAAGGAAGGAAAGGATTATTTAGCTCATGGTCCATGGAGGTTTCAGTGTATATGTGGCTGGCTCCAAGGCAGAGTGGCACATGGCAGAGGGCAACCATTCATGGCGGTGGAAGACAGCAAAAGCAACAGAGCACAAGGGAGGAGATACGGCTAGCGGCCTCTTTCCCTCCCTTACATTGTATGCAAACTAGGGCACGAGTAGCACTCACACCCATAATTCCAACAGTGGAGCATGAATCAGTCATAAACTGTAGAAGCTCACCCCATGACTGCATGAGGCTTTGCGGGGGACATCCAGACACAAACCATAACAAACTGTATAATCACAGGCTATTCTTCCAAGGAGGCTGCAGAGGGGGAAGTGGAATGAAGTGCAGGCCTATGTAGGCCAGGGGTCCAGGTGGGTAGAAATCTAGCCCACATGCTGTTACCAAGGCTACATTAGCCTGCTGCAAGGGCTGATGGAAGTTTATCCAACAAAGACTCCATGTGGCCTACGGAACGATAGCTAGAGCTTTCCTTGTTTGTTTGCATAGTATCTGAATCTTCTTACTAGATTCACAAAAGCAGGTCTATTCTGTTTCAACTCAGCATGAGAACTGTCCCTGGCACCTGGTAAGCACAGCAAACATACTGCATGAATGATGGGATGCAAGGGGAAAGGAAAGGTCATGTGTGTTTTGTTTAGTCTTTGCTCATATTTCAGAGACCTGAACGTGTTTACAGATTAAGAGCAAGGACCTAAGAGGGAGCAAGAAGCTGAAGACTGTTGAGAGAAGAAATAAGATACTAAAGAAATAAGAAAATGAGTCAAGAGAACGCTAGAGAAAAAAATCTGAGTCATTCTTTGGGAAACGTGTTTACGTATCCATTTAATGGTTAATATCTTACATTGCTTTGGACCCTTTGGGGATGGTGCACTTATCTGAGGGACAGGGTTGATAGAAGAAAACGTAAGATATATTCATTTCCATTGGTTCAAGTTAAGTTTTTCGGGGAAAAATACACAGAAAAGAAACACATCAAGTATGCTCTCATTTACTCAGCACTGCCCTCTTGCTTCTCATCCTATTATTCCCGGACAGACCTGCACAGACATCCACCCATGGAGT